CTTCCTGAATTGAAGAGCTTTGATGAATTTCATCTGTTCTTTTTAGTGTTTAGGATTAGGTGGAAATGAGTGCTTTATGAGGAATCAAGGAGTATTTCTCACAACTCTTCAAGCTCCTAGAAAAGGGCATTCAGTATGCCTCCCTCCTCCAGAGCAAGTCCACCGTATTTGGCAAAGATGCCTCATGAAAAGACTTCCAGCAGAAGAGAAGGAAAAAGAGATGAGAGGCTGATCTGATCAGAAGCTCCATGGAGGAGCCCTGAAGCACAGCCACAGCTCAATTATCTGTACAAGGTTGACCTAGGCTGTGGATTAGCCAGTTACTTCCTGCTTCTAAATGCTCCTGCTGAGGTCCACATGGCGTAGCACAGTGTGCTCTTCATACGAGGCTCTGCAACACCCATTGCTGGTATTGCCACGATGGGAAGGTCTACAAATTGTTCACATGCATTCCAAGTCTAATTTACCTATGACTGGAACACGCAGATGCCTTTAATCTTGAATGAGTTGATGTGACGCAACACTAAGCTTTGCTGAACTGCACAATGCAAGTGTTGGAAAAGGCCACAGGAAAAGGTGGGGTCAGCAGGGCACTGAACTCCAGCTCTTTGGTTCAAGAACACCTTGAATCTGAAAGAAGGTGCTGCAGATAGGTGCTGGAGCGTGTACAGCTCATCCCTGCCCTTTGTTTAAGCAGCACTGAAGGGTTGTGGGAGCTTTCAGAGCACATGTGGATGTTGAGAAAGCCTGTCCTCGGGGTCAGTGATTCTGAGGGGATTTCCAGCAAGTATTCAGTAGGTTGTATAAATTGAGGGAGTCTGAAGAGACTCCAGTAGCTTTTACTGTTTCAGGAATTTCATCAGTGTTTTCCTAAGAAGGCATCAGGGGAAGTGCTTTCTTATCTGTCCATGCAATCCTGTGGTAAAGCCTGATGTGCAAGCCCAATATTACATAAAAGGAATGGCTCAGTTAACCAAAGTGTGGTGCAAGAATTTGCCACATCAAATGGCAGTTACAGAGCATGATTTCCCATGATGCCTTGCTGTTCGTTTCAAGTTTTTTGAAAAGGGGCCACTGTAGGTGCCATGAGCTCAAAGTCTTCCCTATTTTGTAACCAGCCATATCCCAAATAACACCAGGAATGCATCTTTCTGGCAAGTGTGTTTATCCTTGCTCCTGCCCTTTGTGTTGGGCCAGACTGTATGACCTTAGCATGTTCTACTTTCCCAGAACTGCAGAAATAAAGAAAAGCTGAACAATATTTGCAAATCCTGTGCTGGGACTAAAACTATTTTGTCCCACTCTCATGAAATTAATGAAAAGAAGGCAGGCAGATATTCTTGGGTAAAGCCTGCTGTGCAGCTAACGATAACCAGTCCTTTGGTTTTTCCCTGTAGGCTATTAAACAAGAGGAGAGATGATCTAGTTGGTACCACAAAGTTTCCAGCTTTTCTGCTGAGCAGAAATGAGAGCAGAGTCCTCATCCATCAGTGCTGTTCCTCTAAACTGTCCCCCTAGCAAACTTCTTTACAGATATGTCGTCATACTTAAATCCCTGTGCACCACCCCCCCTGCTACCTGACTGCAGCACAAATCTCAGCTCTTCAGAGGAAAATACTGTTGGAGAGATGCCAGAAAGAGAGACTGGAAACAAACAGAAGAACCACACACTACAGGTCTGCTGCTTGGATCAGCTCTAAAGTCACCATAGTTGCACCAGAACAGTGACTGAAGGACACTTAAACATTTTGTTCAAGGTACCAAAAAGGATGACAACAAACTTATAATGTAGACTGGAGGTGTCTTGAAATAGTTCCAGTGATATCATGTCTGTGGTTGCACTTAGTCAAGAAGAATCCACAGAGTTTTTTACAAGACTCAAAGCAACTTCGTCCCAGATGGAGGCTTGATGCATTGAGACCAAGACAGTCAGCAAAGGAAAGTGACTGAAGATGGATAGATCTTCTTTTGGGGATGAAGAGGCACTGAAGAGGGTTCATGTTTATAACAGCATTAATCAAGCATTAGCACTTTTCAGTTGGTCCAAAGGACAAAAGTATTTCTGGAATAAACTGCATGTCAAACAGCTGGCTACAACTGCTGACACTAAGGATGTAGAAGGAACAAAACCCAGTAGTGTCTGAAGACCTTCTCTGTACCAAAGAAGACTCTGAAGAGTCTTTGCAACACAAAGCTCAGGAAACTTTTTGTTGGTACTATTTCATCTTACCCCCCACCTTCTTCACTAGACTGAAGACTCTTTTCCCTTTCTTTTGCTATTGTTAGACTGAACTTTGGCAGAGGAAATACCTGGAATTAGATGTGAGCTCTCAGTGGCTGTGGAGATGTCTTCATTGATGTGGTGCAAGGCCTGCACTAGAGGGGACCAAGGACTCTTTGCCAATGAAAGTGATGACAAGAGGGGCTGGTGCTGCAAAATGGGCCCAGATGGTGCCAACTGAGTCACAGATTCTGACTGAGTCACTAATTGGCACAGAAATCTCTCTCAGGGGATGACGCTGAGGGCAATACCAAAGCCAAACATAGGGTTTGAATCTTCACCCTCTTAGTCAATGAAGGCTTTGCTGCCAAAGCCACTGCCATAAACCTGTACTCGTTAGCCTCAATACTCCAAGCAATGTTCAGCCTTCCAAACCTTGTTGATAAGTCCACAGACCTAGCTGCTCTATTTTGCCATAGTGTGCAAGCATCCACCGTAGTGGTGGCTATGAGCTCTGCCTAAGCATATCAGCCACCAAATAAAGGCTCCAGAGAGCTGGAATATCTTCTGCTGCCCATCTTGAGTTCATTGCCAATGATCAATGCTGCATTACAATCATAGAATCATTAAGTTTGGAAAAGACCTCTAAGATGATGAAGTTTAACCATCACCTGACACCACCATGACCATTAAACCATATCCCCAAGTGCCATATCTATGATTTTTTTAAACCCCTCCAGGGATGGTGACTCTACCACTTCCCTGGGTAGCCTGGGCCAATGCCTCATTACTCTTTTAGTAAATAAATCTGTCTGTGCAAAAACAAATAAATGAAATCTAATTGTTGCAAAAAAACACCTCTGGAAGATCTATGAATTTTCTTGGGTTCTACGTTGTGGAAGAGGACCTTCATGCCTCCTTCACTGACTTCCTTGTGTCAGTCAAGAGGAGGTTCTTCTCAAGCCAATGTGAACATGTACAATACTTGTAAGCTCAGTGTCATGCAATGCAAATCCTCCAAACAAGTTCAGCAATGTGGGTTTTGTGTCCACGAGGAACATACAACTGTGTATGAAAAGCAGCTATGCTGTGTTAAGGTAACTTTGGATTTTGGAAAAAAGTTTCCTGCTCGGGCTTGTGCAAGTACAATCTGTATAGCAAAAAGACTTCATTTGAAACAGAAACATCTCTGTATGTCAGAATAATGCAGTCCTAAAGCTGTCAACTAAAATTTACAAGGCTTTTCTTGTTTCAATTTGTATGGGTATTATGTTGGTCACAGAAGAAGAGGTAAAGGGGTACCATCAAATTTAAAAGAATGTATTTTTTCTAAAAATTGTCACAGCTGTTATAACTAACACCTCGAGCTCTCAGAACTACAATATTTAAACAATCCAAATTGCATTCTGCCTTTGATGATACTTGCTTGGTTGTGCTCCTCTCCAGTTGAATTGTATTAAAAGATTGGTATTTTTCCTTTCAGTGTTTCTGATCATTATTATTTAAAGTATTTCTTCATTTGAGCTTTCTTCACTGGTAACTGACTGAAGTCAAGCTGAGCTGTAAGGATTTTTTTAAAAACTACTTCACTGAAGTTTGGGGGAAAAAAAAAAAAACCTGGAAGGAAGCATTTCTTTGCAGCTTAATTATGTGTATTTAAAGCTCCAGTAGAGCTGATAATGTTGTTTAAAAAACTTCTCTCTGCTAAGGAAGTTACAAATATAGCCTGAATTACTATAATGGAAGGGACTCCAGAACAGCTCATACTTTGCTTCCTAACCAGAACTTTAGTGTCAACAACACAGGGTGTTCTAAACATCTAGATGACTTCCCACATGACTCAATGAATTGCCCTAAAAAAAAACCTGTATCATGGGATACAGACAACAGAATCTCAGCTTTAACCTTCATCTCCTGTGTGTTTGTATTTCCAGCTCATTCAGAGAGAACATTTTTTTACTTAAACATAACTCTTATCTGAAGATGACCAAAAGCCATTGGGGTAATCGTAGGTACATGATGCTCAACAGATGGAAGTTATTTGAGGATACTCCTCTTCAAACTACAACAAAGGAAGCCTGTAGCTGAGCACCTCAGGATTTTATCAACTCACATCCACCCACAGAAAGCTGCCCTGACATTTTCAAGGAAGGAACATTACCCCCATTTTCATGTATATAATGGAGTGAAGAAGAGCTCAATTACCCACCCAACATGTGCAACAGCACTGCCAGGAACCTGGTCCCCACCTCCCTGCTCATAACCTGCAGACTCTGACCTCCACAGCAGTGCTCACATCGTTAAGAGTAACCAACCTGCCTACCTTCAAAAAGTACTGCAGAATTGAAGTCTACCTAAGAGTATTCATGTTCTGTCCCACACCAGAGAGCCCTTCCCTCTCCAAACACATATGGGCTTTCTGTGACATCCAACCCCCACTCCTGAGAGTCTGTGGTTATAATAAACTGTGCATCACTAAAATACACCGCTTATAACCAACAATTAATGAGTCTGTCCAAGTTGGCTGCTTCAGTCTTTAGCACTGAACTTTAGCCTAGGTGGAGAGCACCAATTCAATGGCAAGACACTGCTGAGACCATTACTGAGACTGCATTTGGATAACGGTAATGTGAGCCAAACACTAAGAAAAAAAAAAATTACAATCTCCGAACCCCATAATGGCAACAACACCAAGGGTTCAACAACCATCAGGCTGATCAACAGCTCGACAGATATTCATTAATAGGATCATAAAAAGCTTGTTTACGAACTTGCCTACCTGTAAGGAGAATATGGGTCAAAGCACGTCTTGGTGACTTCTGTTATCTCCGGGTTACAGCATTCCCCACCATCGAAGTTGTACCTCTCGTAATTACAATCCATGTCACACACCCCATTCTGCTTCTTCTTGTTGAAGAGGGTGTGGCGCACGTGTCGGCAGTCTCCACCATCATACCCAGTCAAGGTGTGGTTGCACTCCGGATCGCAGTTCTCGTCTCCGATCTTGCTGATGTCGCAGTTGGCCAGGATGAGTCGGTGGCGAAGGGAAGAGTTCTTCACCTCCAGCACCTCCAGCTCCCAGGTGATGTTGTAGCGGCTGAAAGCCTCGTTTAGATGCTGATGCTGGAACTCGATCTGCTGCCGGCTGACGGTGGGGTTCTGGTGCTTGTCATCGTAGAGATTTACCACCCGGTAGCGAACGGTTTTATTACGGCGGAAGCTGGGGAGCTTGTTGTAGCTGGCGATGACGTCTGTGTTGTCACAGACCGTCTGGCCGCAGAGAGGAGGGTCTAGGCTGGTATCCAGCAAATAGCCATGATGGTAGCTGAACTTGCTCCGAGGACTGCTGCCATCCTTCATGGGAGACCAGGTGTTTTTCACATTCAGTAAACTGTCTTGAAGAACTAGCTGAGGTAGAGGCATGTCTTGCCTGTGAATTGCCTGGCCCATGTCCAACAAGATCTCCTTCTGAGACCGGGCTGTCCTCCAGAGGCTGAAGTGCTCTATGTAACCCCGATAGTTCTGGTTCAGGGCATTTCCTCCAACCATGAGCACTTTGCACTTCAAGGTCAGAAGACTGAAGATGCTGCCCACTTGCTCTCCACTTGTGGCCACCTGGGCACCATTCACATAGAGTTTCATCAGGTGCCCATCGTACGTGGCAGCCAGGTGCACCCACTGGTTGGGGAGGTAGCTGCGATGTGCTGCAATGGTGGTTACTTTGCGAGCACGGTCCGTCTTCAGAGAGAAGAAATAGCGGGGGTCTCTATTCCCCTGGTCACTGACGGTGTTAATCCCCAGGACCCATCCTCGGTCACGGGAGGTGTAAGAACATTTGTCATATAGTCCTATGTGCCCCCAAAAAAGAAATATGAATAAATAAGGATGACAGAATAAAGAAATTAGTCTTTAAACTGTATAAATATCTCTCGCTACATGTATATACACACACTCACCTCCATCTGTTAGAAAGTTAGTGTATAAGACAGACATTAAATCATCTAGCACAAGATTGTGGGAGGTCATGTCAAAGCTTGCTAATAAAGGTCAAGATTTGTCAGTGGCGTATACAAATGGGATTCCCCTTTCCTGACCACAACGCTTTTGCAAATTCCCATCAGCCAAATGTTGTAGGTTCTTACCTTCACCCAAGCCACACACAGAATCACAGAATCATAGAATTGTGCTGGTTGGAAGAGGTCTTTAAGATCATCAAGTCCAGCCAAAGTTTCTTGAAAATAAGAACAGTCTTGAGACTGCTCAGCAGTCAACAGCAATCACTGTTGATCTCACACGTACCTCATATCCCTGAGCCCTGTACCTGATAAGGTCCAGAGAAGAAATAAGTGTAAAATCTAAGTACTGTGCAGCTTGAGAAACATTCAGCACCTGCAATCACCTTGACAAGCTCAAGCACCCAAGCATCCTAGAGAGTGAACAGGATGTGTTCAGGCTACCCTCAAATTCATACCAAATAAAAACCGTGGTTTACGTACATTGGTATGTTGGATGTGCTGAAGAAAGCATGGAACACATCAAGAAAAGGCAACAAACATGAACGGACGGACACGCACACTCAGAAAGATCTCTGTCCCCTCACACACAGTTACCAACAATTTGGTGCACCGCAGGGAATATACCCTAATGATTTCTCTCTCATAGACCAAGTGTGGATCCATATCTAAAGCTCTCTCAACCAGTCTTCAGACAGCTCCAAGCAATGGGAAGAGCCCACTTCTTCTCAGTTTGGGACAGGAGGTTTGGCAAGTTAAAGACAGACATTTCCATCTCAGTTCTCAAAGGCCAAGGGCTGTAGAGACACACCTCAACTGAAAAAACAATCATTAGAGCCTTCAGCACCAAACAGCTTTTCTACTATCAGCACACAGAAAACAATCCTTCCCCCAAGCCTCCACTTCCAAAAGCCTACACGAAAATTCATAAATCTCTGACAGTTCGGTCCTCATGAAAAGACTAAATATCCCCTCACCTCACCCCTGCACCCTAACCCTCCCAGCACAACAACCCAACAACATCTTCTGCTTCTGACTAAGTTGCTCAACAGCCATCTGTTAACAATCACTCATTAACAGCACAGCTTTGTCTAGTATCAACAGAGCAAAGGTTACAGGAGCATTCACTGTATTTTTCCTCCCTTCTTCCAGCACCCACCTTCCCCGCTCTCCTCACACCCTTCCCCCTTCTCCTCCTCCTCTCCCTGTAAAAAACACTCTTCTGATGGGAAAGTTAAAAAAATTGAAACAGGCCTTTTTTTTTTTTTTTTTTTTTTTTTTTTTTTTTTTTTTTGGTTTTTTTTTTTTTTTTTTTCTGCATGCTGGTATTTTGCTAGAGACTCTGAGCTCCCCCTTTTCCTGTTTCCCTTGGAAGAGAGATCCCAGGGTTCCGAAGGTAATGTGTTTATTCATCTGTAGGGCGCACTCAGTTCAAAACCTTCCTGAGACCAGCTCCTAGTTTATACTGCTACTTCTGATCACGAGGAAGGAGAAGAGGAGAACCAGGGAAGGAAAAGACAAATATTCTAAGAAAAAATACATTTACTGAGATGGGTATTTACCTGAGAAATTAATGATCTGAAAGCCAAAGCTACCAATGACCTTCTGGAGTCTATTTTTTAAGTGATTTTTATTCCATTTTTCATTATGGAATAAATACTTCTACAAAGCATTCATTTTCATATGCATGGGAGCCCATAACTGTCTGCATTTAATGACTCTCGAATGAAGGTATTGTCCAATGATGGTGGCTGGATAATACTGCAGTGACTGAGAAGACAGCTGGCAGGACAAGTCCCTCTTCCAAATATGTCATTAAAAAGTAAGTTATAACAACCTCTAGTTATTGTAATACAACCAATGGAGCTGATCAGACATTTTGTAAGAGAGTTTTTGCCTGCCAAGACATGCCAACATGGTGAATGCTGAAAAAAGTGATGCAGAAATGGGCTAGTCCCATCTCTGGAAGCTGCAGGTCTTCAACACGGACAGGGGAATCCCAGGGACTCCCTCAGCTGTTTTGGCTGCAAGCACAGAAGGTCAACCCTCATCCCAGCCATGCTCCCCACCATCTCCTGCCACCTTTGCCACCCAGCAACCAAATCTCCAGGCCTGCAGACCACAGAGTAGCTACATAAGCAGTAGCTGCTCCACCTGTTTCTTAAGGTATCCAAGATCCCTGCTGTTGGATGGATGGCTCTAAGTCCTTGGAACAGGCTTCTGGGGTCTCCAGCTCTGGGTTAGTCCACCATACAGTCTTCAAGGGTCAAGGTTTTTGGCTTTTTGTACTGACTGGGGCTGGAAATATTCCCCCAAAGAACTAATAAATTATTGTGGAATGGAAATTCAGTTTCCCAGCCAGCATTAAAGAACATCTTCCTCTCTGAAGTGCTTCATGATGCTAGTGATTGACCTCAGCTGAACAGAGGGAGCTGCTGGAGGAATACTACAGAATAGTAGCAACCCTCCCTTGCCTTTGAGCATTTAAACCCTGATGTGATGCAATGTGTCTTGAGTTTGGCTCAAACAGCTGCCATCAATTCAAGATTTACAGGGAGCCAAAGGAGGGCAGAAAAAGAAAAAAAAAACCCCAGTGACAATAGGGACACCACTGAACATGCCAGTATGAAAGCTGCTGAACTAAAACAGTCTACTATGCCAGTTCCTTACATTTTCTAGTTTAGGGCAAAGGTCACTGCTGAATCCACATGCCACGTACAGTATTCTTTTCTCAAACTTTTACTATTACAGTGCTCCAACTCTTGATGAAAAGATGGATTGAACACAATCCCTTCGGCAGCAAGACTTGTTTTATTCTTAAGAGGGAAAAAAGCAAGAAAAGGGATAAGAAACCCACACTCCCTATAACTTGCAAAGTCGTACCAGTTCTTTATGACCTTCTTTCGCTCGTACTCTGTACCTACTTTCCCAATCCTTCACTTACTTTTGGCTTCAGACTGAATCCTCCGGCTAAGGGAGTGTCACTTTTCCGTTTTGTCCCCAGCACAATGAAACTAATTTCAGCTGTGACTTTGGATGTCATAATAAAAGAATTTATTACTTCTTCTATGACAACTAATAAGGGCAAAGCCATTGGAAGGGGGACAGTGAAATAATTGCCAGAACTTCTGAAAACTGAATAATTTGCTGTTTTCACAATTTATTTCAATCTAGTAAATGGTTCCATAGCCATGAGTTATTTCTCAGACATAATTAAGAACATTTTAAACAAGAAGAGGCCTCTTTTACCCCAAACAAGGCTGGTTTTGAGCAGAATCACCCCTTAAAATGATTGACACTCTGAATTTCAAAATTCAGCTGTGACCACAAACAACATTTACATGAAAAACATACAGAGTTTAGATTCTCATTTACACTGAGAATTCTTTACAATAATGTGGTAAAGGACATTTTTAGCTACTTAATGTCCCTCAACAAACCAAGAGTGGTGTAGAGAGGCCTCATGGTAAATGAGACTCAAGCCAATGACTGCAAAACCACAATTTGGCGACTATGCCTGAAGTTTCTTAGCCAAGAAATGGTGCGAAATAAAACTGATGTTTGTTTTCCCCACAGCAATTAGATTAAAAAAATATGTACAAGTTTCATACAGCAGCAAACAGTTTTCCTCACTTCTGCTTGCCCTGAGTTGCTAGAAAGGGATAGAGCTACAGCTGAGAGGAACACTGACAGCCCTCCTAACTCCTCTGTCTGAATGACTTTTTTTGTTCCCTGTAAAGCTTCTGTTCCTGAAACTCAAGGGATTAAACTGGAATTTTATCTTTTATTTTTAAAAAAATAACTACAAAAGAGAAGAGGTGCTAATTGAGCTTTCCAGCAAGAGGCAACGTTAACCTGCCTTCCCCACCAAGGAGCAGTCACTTTTCAGACATCTCCAGGGCAAAGCATGAACAGAGTAAGTTGCCACACTCGTGAACGCTTGGGCAGAGACAGACTTTGATGGTCCATGAGGCTCCTTCCAGTCCCATGATGTTTGTCCCTTATAGGAAAAGTAAATTCCTAGGCATCAAAACTGTGGGGAAAGCTGGAAAATGATGCTCCAAAGGCCAAAAGCCAAACACAGAAAACCAGAAATATGGTCTCCCCCATTTTTTTAAAAGTAAAATCTCAGCTCTCTGCCTACTGACCCACAACAGCTCCAATGTACAACTGTCCATCTGACCTCTTCCAGGAAACCCTAATCAAGGCCAGAGTATGATTCATACCCCAATTTGTTTTCAGGACTTTGCTGGGGATTTAAATAGAGCCACATCCTCGCGTGAGCCCTGAGTGCAGGACAGAATTTGGCAGCATGAGCACAGCGTGTAGCATCAGCTGCTGAAGTTGTGGAGGAGTCCTGGGTGAGGACACCAGGCATTGCTGTAACCCAGCTCGCGACACTGAGCTTGGAGCAGATGTTTATCAGCAGCAGCCACAGAGAAGCGGGAACTCGCAGCTAGAGGCTGTAGCTGCTGGAGTCAGCAGCAGCACTCTGTGGGCAGAGTCTGAAAGAAGAGAGGCCAAAGTAGCCCATGCAAGCTGCTGTAATCCACTTTAATATTATCAATAACAAACTCCAGGCCTCCCTCCACTCACTTCGGTGCCATTGCTCACGTCTTGCTAAGAGCAACCTTCCCGGTAATCAGCTCAGCTGTAGAATTACCTAAGAATTTAATTCTTCACACAGAAAAAAAAGTTTCCCCACTTTGCTGAGCAATGGGAAGGAAAAAAAAAAAAAAAAAGGCAAAACAAAACCAAACCCCAAGACTTGTTATGCTTTCCTTTCCAGGAGGAAAGAGGCTGGGGGAAGGGGGGGAAGGAGGTCAGCTGGACTTTGAACACATCAGGTGTGCTGCGAGCCCGGCACGGCCGCGCGAGGCACAAGGGAAAACAGCGCCCTGCACTTCTGAAACTTGGCCGTGCCTGTTTTGCTGGGAGACTCCAACCAGAGGTGACAGGACTCAGTTATGAAAGGGGAATTTAGGTCAACAATCAAAGCTGCAGTCAGGGGGC